TTTCAAAAAAAAGTTCAGTTATTTTAAGATTTATATTAAAAAAAAAAAAATTAAGTATAACCAATCATACCTTTACATTAGCTTTAATCTAATAAAAATATCGGCGAGGCTGCCAATAAGGAAAAAAAAAATTTATATTTACCCACCTATACTAAAGATCAATCACATAGTTTTTACAAAATAGATATATACAACTTTTACTAATAATAGTTAGTGACAATATTGAAGAATTTGCTATATAAAAATATAAAACTACATGCAATAAGGCAGCAAGAACAATTTTTATAAAAGGTCTCACAAATTAACATTAGCTCTTTTATCTAAATTTAGTTTTAATGATTTTGTATAGTTTCTCTGATTCTTAAATAAATTTAACTTTGCAAGTTGATTAGTTTGCTTATCTTAATTGACTCAATCTTCCAGATTTTCCAGGTAATTGATATATATATTTTTTAAAAGCATATCATTTTATTATATAAAATACAAAAAAATACTTTCATAGCACCATAGCACCATTAATATTTAATAATAGTAAATTGGCACTAGTTATACCAAATGTAGATCATTATATAAATAAACCAATAAAAATTAGTTTTAATAGATATACATGTATGCAGCTTATGCTGTATAGGATAGACTTGGTAATATAATACATACGCATAATAATAAATAGGATCTGATTGTAAGAGTAATTGAACTTCTTTCTTTGAAAAAAAAACTTACAGTTTATCTTGCCAAGTGTTAGCAATAAAAAAGTAACAGAATTAAAAATTTGTGTGAAAACGTGGCATACTTCTTTTTTGGTCTATCCTTTTCTTTCAATTACATTTTTTTTGCCTTTTTATTTCTTCCGGCTCTTTTTATTTTTACCTTTTTTTACCTACTATTTTCATTTTCTTTGCTCATATTTTTTCATCATCTTTTCCTATTTCATTTTTTCTATTCATTCTTTTCTTTTTTTTTGTCCTTTTTATATCCACCTCTTTATTTTTATTTTTGTCCTTTTTCTTCCCCTTTTTCTCTTACTCTTTTCTCCCTTTTATTTCGTTTTTTTTTCTCTTTTTTTTTTCGCTCATTTCACCCTTTTTTTTTCTCACCTTTTTTTCTTTTTTTTCCTGCCCTTTTTTTTCTTTTTTCCTGCTATTTTTCTTTTTTTTCTTTTTTTACCCACGTTATATTACTTACCTATTTTATACCCAAATAGAGATCAGTTGTCAAATCCAGACTTTTTTTTTTTTTTTTATCTCTTTATCTGCATCATTTACCTTTCTATTTTATATCTATATAAAAAGACGTGATCGTATCGATCTTTACTCATGCAAAATTATTTAATTAAGGTTTGTTAATTTTTATCTTTTGAAGCATAAGTGATCTCTTGAAACATAACAGTGATCGCTCGATGCATTACAATGATTGCTTGATGCATTACAATAGAAGACTGTCTATTAACGATATTCATTGTAATTAACTTTGGTGGATAGGTATAAATATCATTAATAATGAGCCATGATAATAAAAAGGTCGTGATCGAATATGTTAGTGAGTATGACGATAGTAGCGAACATGAACAGAGTATTGTGTCTGAACATGATGATAATATGATACATGAACTTGATAATCAAAATGAACACCTCAATTATGGACCTAAGCAAAATATTTCTGAAAACGCAGATGATTGTGAAATATAGAAGATCTTTAATAGTTGGGATAATGCCGAGAAAGAAATTGAGAAGTATGCATATTGTAAAGGTATGATTGGTTATACTTAATTTTTTTTTTTTTAATATAAATCTTAAAATAACTGAACTTTTTTTTGAAA